TTAACCCTCGTGTACACAAGATGTCAGTAGAGAGACAAACCAAACTTCCTTCCTTCCATGACGGATAGAACAAAAACAACAACAAAGAAAATAGAAAACCAAATAGTTAATATTTTGTGTGAAAACATTCCATCACGTAAAAATGAGAAAAAGTATTCAAATCATACGAAACGATAACATTAGCCAAGACAAACAAGACGCGACAACTAATTGAATTACAAATGCAAGATTTGGGAATGCATACTGCTTCAAGATGGTTGATTAATAATGCATACCTTTCATTGTCTCAGCGTTAACTTTCCTTTAATTCTTATTTCCAATTATGGCGCGCGATTTCCTACTCGCTGACCGTGCATATTAATAATTTATGACAATGATTGGAGAAATATTTTCGAATTCATTAGTTCATTTAAACCAAAAATTGTCCGAATACGGCGTTACACAAATATTTCCCGATCTTCAACAATTGCTTCTTGATTTACAGTTTGTTGATTAAAGCAACGAAATTAACTCCTTCCACTCAATGCCTTGAGTCTTCCGAGTTAAACCATCGATTGCTCTGTGTATCGCATTCCGTCTTAAATATAATATCTCTGCAGCGCTTTCTCCCAGTTGACAGTTTATTCGACCGCGGGCTTTCATTTTAAAAGGCTGCATTAAACACATTCGTCATATTAAAATCCGTGGGCTTTTCTGGAAGCCGTATCTGTCCTGTCGTGTTACTTTGTTTGGAATGGAGTTATTTAAGTAATACCGGGAGTTCTTGGAGTGTAATTAGATAGGGATGTTATCATTGCCTTCAAGTAGGGCGTGGGCAGTAAAGTATGTTGTTTCGAAATTGAGTTGTAATTAAGGTGGGGTCAGTTTTCGATTGTTGTAACTTGGACAAATGGTGTGTGCTACTTGTCAATTGAACTTCATGGAGATGCAGAAGATTAAATATAAATTGAAAAACCAAATTATTTAAATGCCCAGTAAAAAATATTTCAGTTTTATGGTTACTCTACACTACCCCCCACAGCGCTCTACAATCCTATTAGGCCGGTACATACGGTTTGAAATGAATTCAAGGCTCTACAAATATCCATTTAGGCACCGCCGTTATTCTACCGCGAAACCGTTGGTACTGAGCGTCCTAGACCCTAGACACTCGGATATTCAGGACCCCGTTAGTCGGACTACCTGGTAGGAGTTTTCCGGCGTTTTCTCCCATACGATACGCAAATGCGGTATAGTTCTTCCTAAAAGTCCTCCTGGAAGGCACTTCCATCCTACTTCAGCGCCACGGAGTAGAAGTCAGACTTCTAACTACGGGTGCTCCATCCCCAACAGGAGCTGCCTCCCCTCTTTCCTCCTACACTTCCTGTTCGCTAAGTGGGATAGCGCTCTGGCATTTGGTATAAAAAGTCTTCAGGTTCAAATCCTGGCGGTGCATGGATGCTTGTGAGTGGTTCGGAATCCACTTTACACTGTAGATCCTGGTCTGCTTAGCCCTCGTGTGCACAAGATGACAGTAGAGCGACAAACCAAACTTCCCTCCTTCCATGAGTTAGTGATATAGCAACAACAAAAGAAAATAGTACAACACCAACTAGTTAATATTTTTTCTGAAAACTTTCCGTTACGTAAAAACGAGAAAAGTACTCAAACCATACGAAACGATAACATCAGCCAAGGCAAACAAGACGCGACAACTAATTGAATTACAAATGCAAGATTTGGGAATGCATACTGCTCCAAGATGGTTGATTAATAATGCACACCATTCGTTGTCTCTGCGTTAACTTTTCCTTTTAATTCTTATTTCCAATTATGGCGCGCGATTTCCTACTCACCGGCCGTGCATATTAATAATTTATGACAATGATTGGAGAGAAATATTTTCGAATTCATTAGTTCATTTAAACCAAAAATTCTCCGAATACGGCGTTACACAAATATTTTCCCGATCTTCAACAAATGCTTCTTGATTTAGAGTCTGTTGATTAAAGCAACGAAATTAACCCCTTCCACTCAATGCCTTGAGTCTTCTGAGTAAAACCATCGATTGCTCTGTGTATTGCATTCCATCTTAAATATAATATATTTCTCCCCAGTTGACAGTTTATTCGACCGCGTACTTTCATTTTAAAAGGCCGCATTAGACGCATTCGTCACATTAAAAATCCGTGGACTTTTCTACAAGTCATATCTGACCCGTCGTGTTACTCTGTTTGGAATGGAGTTATTTAAGTAATACCGGGAGTTCTTGAGTGTAATTAGATGGGGATGTTTATCATTGTCTTCAAATAGGGTGTGGGCAGTAGAGTTCGTTGTTTCGAAAAAGTGAGTTGTAATTAAGGTGAGGTTAGTTTTCGATTTTTTAATTTGGACGAATTATGTTACTACTTGTTTATTGAACTTCATACAGATGTAGATGATTAAACATACATTGTAAAACCAAATTATTTAAATGTCCAGTAAAAATTATTCAAGTTTTCATGGTACCCTACACTATATCCACAGAGCTCTTCGATATTAGACCGGAACCTACGGTTTGAAGTGGGTATTTCCGAACCTCTACAACCATCCATGGCACCGCCGGGATTCGAAACCGAAACTTGTGGTACTGAGCGTCAAAACGCTAAATACTCAGGCATTCAGGACTGCGTTAGTCGGACTACGTGGTAGGAGTTTTCCGGGTTTTTTCTCCCATACCATACGTAAATGCGGTATAGTTCCTCCTAAAAGTCCTTTCAGAATGCACTTCACTCCTTCTTCAGCGACACTGAGCAGAAGTCACACTTCTACCTACAGGTGCTCCATCATAACAGAAGCTGCCTCCCCTTTCCTCCTACGCTTCCTGGTTTCCAAGTAGATAGCACTCTGGCCTATGGTATTACAGACTTCAGGTTCGAATTCTGGCGGTGGCATGGATGTTCGTTAGTGGTTCGAAATCCACTTTAAACTGTAGGACCTCGTTGGTTCAGCCTTGTGTGCACAAGATGACAGTAGAGAGAGAAACCAAACTTCCCTCCTTCCATGAGGGATACAACAACAAGAACAACAAAAATGCAACACTAAGTAGTTTATATTTTGTGTGAAAACATTCCGTCACGTAAAAACGAGAAAATTATTCAAACCATACGAAACGATAACATTAGCTCAAGACAAACAAGACGCGGCAACTAATTGAATTACAAATGCAAGATTTGGGAATGCATACTGCTTCAAGATGGTTGATTAATAATGCATACCATTCATTGTCTCTGCGTTAACTTTTCCTTTAATTCTTATTTCCAATTATGGCGCGCGATTTCCTACTCGCTGGCCGTGCATATTAATAATTTATGACAATGATTGGAGAGAAATATTTTCGAATTCATTAGTTCATTTAAACCAAAAATTCTCCGAATACGGCGTTACACAAATATTTCCTCGATCTTCAACAATTGCTTCTTGATTTACAGTCTGTTGATTAAAGCAACGAAATTAACTCCTTCCACTCAATGCCTTGAGTCTTCTGAGTTAAACCATCGATTGCTCTGTGTATCGCATTCCGTCTTAAATATAATATCTCTGCAGCGCTTTCTTCCAAGTTGACAGTTTATTCGACCGCGGGCTTTCATTTTAAAAGGCTGCATTAAACACATTCGTCATATTAAAATCCGTTGGCTTTTCTGGAAGCCGTATCTGTGCTGTCGTGACATTCCAAACAGAGTGTTTGGAATGGTTATTTAAGTAATACCGGGAGTTCTTGGAGTGTAATTAGATTGGGATGTTTATCATTGTCTTCAAATAGGGTGTGCGCAGTAGAGTGCGTTGTTTCGAAAGTGAGTTGTAATTAAGGTGGGTTCAGTTTTCGATTGTTTCAATTTGGATGAATAGTATTGCTGCATGTCCATTGGATTTCAAACAGATACAGAAAATTAAACATAAATTGAAATACTAAATTGTTTAAATAGCCTGTAAAAAATATTTAAGTTTGATTGGTGAAATATATTTTATGAGTTAATAGCAGGCCAATATCATTCTTGATTTATGAAATATATTTTATGTAAATTACAGGTCGATATCTTTCATTTACATTAAAGTGATACAATTTAAAATATAATTATTTGTGTCAATAAATACTACATAGACAGTTTTTTTTTAGGGAAGTTTTTCATTAAATATTTTTGGTTTTTTGCCACATGTTTCTTCTAATGTGTCGAAAGTTTATTGATAGGTATTAAAAGTGAGTAATATGCAAATTAGGTGTGAAGAGATGATATTTTTTGATTCTTATAATTACAAGTTCAAAATTAGTCATTAAAAATGTCACAAAGAGACTAAATCAAACGTTCTCGGAGATAAAAATGTGATATCTTAAGGGGAAAAAAGTTAAATGGAAATGTTTTATTTAGTTTATATTATAGAACGGTATATATGATGTCTTATTTTACAGTTGTACACATTCCGATTCATAATAAGATGTTTAAAATATTAAATGATTGTCAAATTAAAACAATTCATTGCGAGAAAATGCATCTTTATAGAACATTGGAAAAAATTAATTTTTTTGGTGGGAAGCAGTGATCCGCTAAGATACACATTGATTAAGTGACGTGCTGAAAATTTTACTTTTTTGTTACGAAATCGTTAAAACTGTAACCACTTAAACTGTAACTGTACTTCATCTTTCCCCTCTCACTTTATTATTTTTTTAGTTGCCCGTTGTAGACGAGGGTTATGTATCTGTCTTTTTTGTTGCTTATCCCACTTGGCTGGCCAAGCCCACGAGCCCATACATACTCATGATTGAAGGGGAAGGAAGCAGCTTCTGTTGTGATGGAGCACCCATAGGTAGAAGTCTGACTTTGGCTCCGTGACGCTCTTACAGTCATAGGAGACCGGGACCTACGGCTTAAAGTGGATTCGAACCACTACAAACATCCATGGCACCGCCGGGATTCGAACCCGAAACCTGTGGCACCGAGCGCTAGACACTCGGCCATTCAGGTCCCAAATTTGTGAATGCCAACGGCACGCGGTGTTCCCAGGTGATCACCTACCCAAGTACTGACCGCGCCCAATGATGCTTGACTTCGGTGATCTAAATCTGTATTTTTAATGTTATATATTGTGTATTTATGTATCGTCATTTGTGCGAATAAAACTAACGAAAAGTATTGGAATATTTGAATTGACTGATTACATCCCGGTCTTTTGGATAACTTCTTAACGCTTTGTTTTACTAAAAGGTATAAAAAAGAAATTTATAAGAAATTTTTTTAGTTTAAGCGAATTGTTTAGTGAGGTGAAACGAGGCATTATTAAATAGGTCGAAATAATATCTGTAAAACTGGTTTCTTTACTAGGAGACTCCGTATGCAGTAAAAACAACAATCCTCAAGAATTCCTGCCTTTTTACTGTATTTCCATATGACTATCGATCTTAAAACTTCTTTTAAAATCTTGTTAAATTTATGAAAATATATCTACAGAAGATGAAATTTATTATGAAAACAAATTGTTTCGTGTAAATTTAAGTTATATTTTTCTCTTTTCAATCAATGTTGTAGGTTTGGTTTGTCGCTCTACGGTCATTTTATGCACACTTTAGGCTCATTAGACCTACAGCTTAAAGTGGACTCTGAACCACTAACAAACCTTTATATTACCGCCAGGATTCGAACCTGGAGCACCAAAGGCCACAGAGCTAGCTAATTGTCCATCAGGCCGCAATTGTTGTAGAAGAATAACAATGCAATAAATGGATTTGCATAATAAGAAGATTAAATATAAATTCCCACCAACCGCAAATTCAAAGATATAGTTTTTAACTTATTTCTTTTTCTGCATTTTAAACTGAGTTTTATCTGTGTAAAGCATCTGCTTGTTCATATTTTGCTATTCATTGTAGTGAACATAAAGTTTTAAATTCTGTACTTTTTGTATTTCGGGTATTCACATAGAAACATTTACTCAATTGCGATTATCATTAGGGCAATTTCGCGAAGAATTCTTTACAAAACGAAAGTTTCTATTTCTAGGAATGCCAAATGGCACTTCATTATTTTCAAAATGACTCTTTCATTCTCTGAAGACTTTGTCATTTTCAGCTAAAGAAAAGAATAAAAAAAAAAATCCCGATGTGTTTCCGGTGATATTCTGGAAAATGTCTCGAAATCTTTCAATTTGGAACATTAGAATAATTAAAAAAAAAAAATAAAAAATTGGAACTTTGAAAAGCCATTGCAGTGATCGTCCCATCATAAAATACTCACTTTTGAGCAAAATATCATTTGTTGAAAACCCTTTTCATTCGAAATGCGAACGTTCTTTATTTGTTAACGCAATAATTCCCATTCCCATTTTTCCGTTCCATTGTGCGCTTGTAAGGTTCGCGCTTTTTTCGAAATCGAGCGTTCCTTGTTCCTTGGAACATGCATTGTTCTTCGCGATCCCCCAGCACACAATGGCAAAGAAGCGCGCATTCGAATTCGAACGTTCCATGCATTCGAGGGAAATCTTGTTTTATTTTTCCTCTTTCAATGATGAGAATTCCTTCTCCTGAAGACAATGGAGCAATATTTTCTGGAAAACCATTCTTCTCGCATCGTTTGGAATGGAATCGAACGAAATATGCCTAACTGCACCCCCACCCTTTCACTACAAAGACTTCCGCCGCTAACATTTTAATTTGGGCCGTTGTATCTTATCGAACGTTTTTCGAATGATTTCGAATGGTTATCGCCCCTCCCATCTGACGCGCACTTTAATGTCGCGCGTGTCTCTTTGTCAACAGCGTAATCGAATCCATTGTGTCGTTCTCGTCCGAGTGTTGACACTGTTATAGGGATGCTGGGGGGTTAGGCGTAAATACCAAGTTCGACAAGGCTTGACTTCTGGCGTTGGAATGCTTCTTTAGGCAGCAGATCCCCCCTGTCCCTTGCTCTTAGTTATTATGTTTGATGATAAACTGATGCAGTTTCACAGAGTAATATAATGTTCTGTTATAAAGATTCGAATATTTTGTTATGTTTGCTGCTTTCTTAAATTACATGTAAGTAATTAATAAAAAAAATATTTAGGTTTTTTGCGAATTAATTTATTGCCATAGCATTCTATATTGATGTCTTCGAATCCAAATAGATGATATCTGATTATATATTCTTTGTGAAAATGGGAATCCTAGAGGGAATGCTGGGGAGTTAGGCGTAAAACACCAAGTTCGACAAGGCTTGACTTCTGGTGTTGGAATGCTTCTTTAGGCAGCAGGGCCCCTTGCCTTGCTCTTGGTTATTATGTTTGATGATAAACTAATGCAGTTTCACAGTGCAGTATAATGTTCTGTTATAAAGATTCGAATATTTTATCATGTTTGCTTCAATCAGCATTATAATGGTTAAATTACATATAAGTGTTGTTTTTATTACTAATTCCACTGGTGCAGGAAAGCCTACATCAGATTAGAAGAACCCTGTCGCAAGCTAAGTCCTTGGCTAAGAATAATACGCAACTTCACTTTTAGCAAGGAAGCACAAGGGCTAAAGACTGACTAAACCTCAAGACCTCTACAGCCATATTGGACCGTGATATACTGTTTAAAATGGATTCGAACCACTACAAACATCCATGGCAGAGCATGTACTCGAAAACGAAACTTGTAGCACAGCTAGAAGTTGCAGATGCAGTTTCGCAGAATAATATATTGTTCTGTTATAAAGATTCGAATAATTTTCTTTGTTTGCTGCAGTGAGCATTGTAATTCTTAAATTAGTTAATTAATTCGCTAATAGACTAAAAATATTTTATTAATTATCATAGCATTCTATTTCGATGTCTCGAATCCAAATAGATGTAATCTAATGATATGTTCTTTATGAAAATAAAATAAGAAGAAAGCATATTAGATTTTAATGTCTAGAAACAACCAAAAATGGCATTTGCTTGTTCTTATTTTTCTATTCATTACAGTGAATATAGTGTTTTAAATTCTATACTTTGTTATTTCGGCTATTCACATAGAAACAGTTACCAATTGCGATTATCATTACGGCAATTTCGCGAAGAATTCTTTACAAAACGAAAGTTTCTATTTCCAGAAAAGCCAAATGGCACTTCATTATTTTCAAAATGACTTTTTCATTCTCTGAAGACTTTGTCATTTTCAGCTAAAGAAAAGGATAAAAAAAAAAAAACCATTCCTGTTGTGTTTCCGGTGATATTCTGGAAAATGTCCCGAAATCTTTCAATCGGGAACATTAGAATAAAAAAAAAAATTGGAACTTTGAAAAGCCATTGCAGTGACCGTCCCATCATAAAATACTCACTTTTGAGCAAAATATCATTTGTTGAAAACCCTTTTCATTCGAAATGCGAACGTTCTTTAGTTGTTAACGCAATAATTCCCATTCCTATTTTCCGTTCCATTGTGCGCTTGTAAGGTTCGCGCTTTTCGAAATCGAACGTTCCTTGTTCCTTGGAACATGCATCTTCGCGATCCCCCCCAGCACACAATGGCAAAGAAGCGCGCATTCGAATTCGAACGTTCCGTGCATTCGAGGAAAATCTTGTTTTATTTTTCCTTTTTCAATGATGAGAATTCCTTTTCCTGAAGACAATGGAGCAATATTTTCTGGAAACCATTCTTCTCGCATCGTTTGGAATGGAATCGAACGAAATATTCCTAACTGCACCCCCCTCCCTTTCTCTACAAAGACTTCCGCCGCTAACATTTTAATTTGGGCCGTTGTATCTTATCGAACGTTTTCGAATGGTTATCGCCCTCCCCATCTGGCGCGCACTTTAATGTCGCGCGTGTCTCTTTTGTCAACAGCGTAATCGAATCCTTTGTGTCGTTCTCGTCCGAGTGTTGACATTGTTATGGGGACGCTGCAGATGGAGGGTTAGGCGTAAATACCAAATTCGACAAGGCCTGACTTCCGACTTTGAATGCTTCTTTAGGCAGCAGGGCCCCATCCCTTGCTCTTAGTTATTATGCTGGATGATAAACTGATGCAGTTTCACAGAGTATTATAATGTTCTGTTATAAAGATTCGAATATTTTGTTATGTTTGCTGCAGTGAGTATTATTATTCTTAAATTAATTAATTATAGACTAAATTTTTTTTTATTAATTATCATAACATTCTATATCGATGTCTTCGAATCCAAGTAGATGTAATCTGATGATATGTTCTTTACGAAAATTAAACGAAAAAGAAGAAGCATATTAGATAATGTCTAGGAACAGCTAAAAATGGCATATTTATTATATAGATGAATTTAATAAAAGTTTTACCCAATAAGATTTTATTTAATTAAATATACGTAGGATTAAAATTTATCATTAATAGTACGACAGCCCAGAGTGCGCCAAGGCTTTCCGTTAAAGATATTTTCATGCATTCCTCTGGGTGACAAGGGTCCTCCAATTCTTAACCTTTAGTACAGCAAAACCTTTTCAACGGCGTCTATCCATCGCAACTTGGGTCGTACTCTTCCTCTTTTTGTCCCTGTGGCTTTGCCAAAATGAGTCTTTTTACAGGGTTTAAATCATTCATTCTAACTACATGAACAGTCCAGTTTAATCTATTGATCTTTATAAATTTTATAATATATGCGTCTTTATAGCATTTATACATTTCTGCGTTGCACTCTCTTCTTCAACAATCACTTTCCCTAACACCTCCAAATATAGCCCTAAAATTTTCCACTTAAATAGACCCAAATGGGCCTCATCAGATCTTGCCAAAGTTCCAAGTTTCAGAGCCATAGACCAAAATAGGTCTAATAAGGGTTTTACATTACAAGAATTTAGTTTTTCTGCTTATGAACTGGATAAAACTTGTATTTCCTTTTTTCTTATTAGAGATTTGCTTCACAATTAATAAATATTCAATGGAACTTTTTATTCCTGTGCCCTTCTGCTTAAATGTGATTACACTGAACTCGGTGCCCAAGATGTACACTGCGTAAAAAAAATAGAAGGACAGTGTTTTTTTGCCAATTAATATCTCTTATTTTCTCCTAACTACCAGATATATATGCAGATTTAGTTTAATGACCCTTTTTTTCATTTTAGGCAAAAATTAAACATCTACCATTAATA